AAACGCTCAACGGCGTTTACACCTTTATCAAGACATAATAAAACATCTGTAACTTTTCTCTTTTGCAGTGAGCTCAGAATGATATATACATGAGTGGGATTACGGATCTCTCGCTATATCATTATAACAATTCTGTATGGTAGATTAATCTCAGAGAAAAAACAGCCCAAGGTCACACAGTGAACTTCAAGGCTGAGTGGGGACATGAACCGAGATTTCCCTGGCGAGAATGAAACATTTCAACTACAACAGCGTGCGGAATCTCTCTTTACATATCAATTTGCACTTTGCACATCGTGGGCTGAACTCTGGATTTGGAAACTAGCTTTGGAGCTAAATCCTGCTTGAATTCAACCTTCATGTGGCAATGCTAGTTTGTGGGAGGAAGAACAACAGATCTACCGTATATACCCGAATTTAAGCCGACTCATATATAAGCTGAGACATCTAATTTTGCCACAAAAACTGGGAAAAGGAGCTACGGATAAATTTCAAAATAAAAATGGATACCAATAAATTTACATTAATTGAGGCATCTGCAGGTTAAAAGTTTTTGAATATTTACATAAAACTGTAATTTAAGATAAGATTTTAACCTTCTTCAATGTAAATGTGATGTATCCTTCCAAATAAAAATAGAGTAAGATAATAAATGCAGTAATAATAATAATAATAAATAGAACAAAATAGTAAATGTATTAATAATAATAGAGTAAAATAATAAATATAATAATAAAGTAAAATAATACATGTAATAATAATAAATCAAGCAAAATAATAAATGTAATAATAATAATAGAGTAAAATAATAAATAATAAAAATGATAATAATTGAGTAAAATAATAAATGTAATAAAAATAATAAATAGAGCAAAATAGTAAATGTAGTAATAATAATAATAACCGGAGTAAATAAATGTAATAATAATAATAGAGTAAAATAATAAATAATAAAAATGATAATAATAGAGTAAAATAATAAATTGAGTAATGTAATAAAAATGTAATAAAAATAATAATAAATAGAGCAAAATAGTAAATGTAGTAATAATAATAATAACCAGAGTAAATAAATGTAATAATAATAATAATAGAGTAAAATAATAAATAATAAAAATGATAATAATAGAGTAAAATAATAAATTGAGTAATGTAATAAAAATGTAATAAAAATAATAATAAATAGAGCAAAATAGTAAATGTAGTAATAATAATAATAATAACCAGAGTAAATAAATGTAATAATAATAATAGAGTAAAATAATAAATTAAAAATGATAATAATAGAGTAAAATAATAAATTGAGTAATGTAATAAAAATGTAATAAAAATAATAATAAATAGAGCAAAATAGTAAATGTAGTAATAATAATAATAATAACCAGAGTAAATAAATGTAATAATAATAATAGAGTAAAATAATAAATGTAATTAAATTATAATAGAGTAAAATAATAAATGTAATTAAAAATAATAAATAGAGCAAAATAGTAAATGTAGTAATAATAGTAAATAGAATAAAATAATAAATGTTATAGTTATAATAATAGAGTAAAATAATAAATAATAAAAATGATAATAATTGAGTAAAATAATAAATGTAATAATAATAAATTGAGTAAAATAATAAATGTAATAAAAATAATAAATAGAGCAAAATGGTAAATGTAGTAATAGCAATAATAAGCAGTGTAAAATAATAAATGTAATAATAATAATAGAGTAAAATAATAAATTTAATAAAATTATAATAGAGTAAAATAATAAATGTAATTAAAAATAAAAAATAGCAAATGTAGTAATAATAATAAATAGAGTAAAATAATAACTGCAATAATAATAAATAGAGCGAAATATTTATTTTGTGAGAGAATTGGCCGTCTGCAAAGACATTGCCCAGGGGACGCCCGGATGTTTTGATGTTTTTATCATCCTTGTAGGAGGCTTTTCCGATGTCCCCGCATAAGGAGCTGGAGCTGATAGAGGGAGCTCATCCGCACTCTCCCCAGATTTGAACTGTGACCTGTTGGCACAGGGGTTAAACCCACTGTGCCACTGGGGACTCCAATAAATAATAAATAAATAAATGCCATAAAATGATAATAATAGAGTAAAATAATAAATGTAAAAACAATAATAGAGAAAAATAATAAATATAATAATAGAGTAAAATAAAAACAACAACAACAACAACAACAACAACAACAGAGTAAAATAATAAATAACTTTGACTTGAGTATAAGCCATGGAAGGTTTTTTCAGCCTTAAAAACGTGGTGAAAAACTTGGCTTATACTTGGGGGAAGGGTCAGAGGCGGCCCTAGGTAATTTTCAACGGTAAGCAAATAATTTTATGGCACCCCCCCCCCCCAAACAATCACTGATATATATTTTCTGTTCGTCGTGCGAGTTCTGCGTGCCATATTTGGTTCAATTCCATCATTGGTGGAGTTCAGAATGCTCTTTGATTGTAGGTGAACTATACATCCCAGTAACTACAACTCCCAAATGTCAAGGTCTATTTTCCCCCAAGAGCGCCTCAAAAGCGCCCCTGGGCAGAATCAACTATACTGCAAATGCTTACTATGCGTATTGGTTGAGCCGCCCCTGGGAAGGGTTCAACCTGAAAAAATGGCTGAAAAACTTGGCTTATACTCGAGTATATACGGAAATTCAGAGTTTGGAAACCTTAGCAGCTCTGTTGGCTAGAAGGATGGTGATGCGTCTTGGAGTTGCAGCCCACAAAACTTTGTGTTTTGTTTGTTTGCTCCTTTGTTAAAAATGCAATGCAACTGTCTGGTCTGCCCCTGACACGATAAATAAATAAGCCCACAAAAGGAACTGTTCCAAGAAGAGAGTCGAAATGTTTCCCTCTCTCCCCGCTCTGTTTTCAATGAAACCTTGTGGGAAGCAGAAGGTATGGATCCATGCTAAAACCAGAACTATTTCTTCCGCAGGGCTAAAGGTTTTCTAACCCCAGGAGAGGCTACCACCCCGTGTGCCATGGCGAGCGCCTCGCCCACCGCGGCAGTGGTGACGGCCACCGTTGTGACCACAGCGGCCACCATGGACTTGCGTGACTGGCTCTTCCTCTGCTACGGCTTAGTGGCTTTTCTGAGCGAGGTGATTGACAGCACCACCTGCCCGTCAGTCTGTCGCTGTGACAACGGCTTCATTTATTGCAACGACCGGGGCCTGACCTCCATCCCGGCGGACATCCCGGATGACGCCACCACCCTCTACCTGCAGAACAATCAGATCAATAACGCCGGCATCCCCTCCACCTTGAAGAAAAAGATCAATGTTCAGGTAATCGAACGAGGGGAATGCAATTGGGGTCTTTCCCTCTCTTATTTCCCCCATCCTTGATGTAGCAGCACAGTGGTCCGAGTGGTTTGGACTTCAACTCCCACAATTCCTAGCTGGGATTTCTGGGAGTTGAAGTCCAAAACACCCGGAGGACTAAAGATTGTAGCAAAAAGATATATACATAGGGTTGCTGTGAGTTTTCCGGGCTGTATGCCCATGTTTCAGAAGCATTCTCTCCTGACATTTCGCCCACACGAAATGTCCCAATTTTAGGACCTTTCATCTGATGTCTACTAGGCGTAGAGCATTCACACTCAGAGGTTTTGGACTTCAACTCCCACAATTCCTAGCTGGGATTTCTGGGAGTTGAAGTCCAAAACACCTGGAGGACTAAAGATTGGGAAACACTGGTGTAGCAAAAAGATATATACATAGGGTTGCTGTGAGTTTTCCAGGCTAACGCCCATGTTTCAGAAGCATTCTCTCCTGACGTTTCGCCCACACAAAACGTCAGAATCTCCCTTTCACCTGGTGTCAACTAGGCGTAGTCAGAGGCGGCCCTAGATAATTTTCAACGGTAAACAAACAGTATTTTGCCCCCCCCCCCCCCACCAAACACTGATATATATTTTCTGTTCATCGTGGGAGTTCAGTGTGCCATATTTGGTCCAATTCCATCATTGGTGGAGTTCAGAATGCTCTTTGATTGTAGGTGAACTGTACATCCAAGTAACTACAACTCACATATGTCAAGGTCTATTTCCCCCCCAAGAGCGCTTCAAGAGTGCCCCTGGGCAAAATCAACTATACGCAAATGCTTACTTTGCGTAAGGGTTGAGCCGCCCCTGGCCTCACGCCCTACCAACCCCGAGAACTTGCTGACTGAAAGGTGAGCTTTTGTCGTTAGCCCCAGCTTCTGCCAACATAGCAGTTCGAAAACATGCAAATGTGAGTAGATCAATTATACCGTATAATAATAATATATCGTATGTATATATTTGGCTAGAGCCGCCAGTGGCGCAGCGGGTTAAACAGCTGAGCTGCTGAACTTGCTGACCAAAAGGTAGGCGATTCAAATACAGGGAGTGGCGTGAGCTCCTGCTGTTAGCCCCAGCTTCTGCCAACCTAGCAGTTTGAAGACATGCAAATGTGAGTAGATCAATAGGTATAGCTTCTGCAGGAAGGTAACGGCGCTCCATGCAGTCATGCTGGCCACATGACCTTGGAGGTGTCTACGGACAACGCCAGCTCTTCGGTTTAGAAATGGAGATGAGCACCACTCCCCAGAGTCGGACACAACTAGACTTAATGTCAGGGGAAACCTTTACCTTTACTTTACTATGTTATCCAAAGCTAATATATACCATATAATAATAATATACTGTAGGTATATATTTAGCTAGAACCCCCCATGGCGCAGCAGGTTAAACTGCTGAGCTGCTGAAATTGCTAATAGAAAGGTCAGCGATTCGAATCCAGGGAGCAGGGTGAGCTCCCACTGTTAGCCCCAGCTTCTGCCAACCTAGCAGTTCGAAAATATGCAAATGTGAGTAGATCAATAGGTATCGCTTCTGCGGGACACAACTAGACTCAATGTAAAGGTAAATCTTCACCTTTACTTTACTATGTTATCCAAAGCTAATATATACCGTATAATAATAATAATAATAATAATATACCGTATGTATATATTTAGCTAGAGCCCCCCATGGCGCAGTGGGTTAAACCGCTGAGCTGCTGAACTTGCTGACAGAAAGGTCAGCGATTCGAATCCAGGGAGCAGGGTGAGCTTCCACTGTTAGCCCCAGCTTCTGTCAACCTAGCAGTTTAAAAACATGAAAATGTGAGTAGATCAATAGGTATAGCTTCTGCGGGAATATAACAGTGCTTCATGTAGTCATGCTGGCCACATGACCTTGGAGGCGTCTACGGACAACGCCGACTCTTCGGCTTAGAAATGGAGATGAGCACCACTCCCCAGAGTCGGACACATATTTAGCTAGAGCCCCCCCCCCCCATGGCGCAGCGGGTTAAACCGCTGAGCTGCTGAACTTGTTGACAGAAAGCTCAGCGGTTCGACTCCAGGGAGCAGGGATGAGCTCCCACTGTTAGCCCCAGCTTCTGTCAACCCAACAATTCGAAAACATGCAAATGTGAGTAAATCAATAGGTACCGCTTCTGCGGGAAGGTAATGGCGCTCCATGCAGTCATGCTGGCCACATGACCTTTTAGACGTCTATGGACAATGCCGGCTCTTCAGCTTGGAAATGGAGATGAGCACCAACCCCCAGAGTTGGACACGACTAGACTTAAGGAGAAACCTTTCCCTGGGAAATAAGATGAACTTGAACTCTTGGTATAAGAAGACAATTTCCGTCACTAAAAGGCGGAAAGGAATGCTGCAATTCCTAAGAGCAAGAATGGGTTTCTTAGAGTTGGACACTTAATGATAGAGGAAACCTTTACCTTACACTGTAAAAATGTATCTGTTCCAACTTACATACAAATTCAACTTGAGACCAAAACTACACAACCTATCTTGTTTGTAACTTGGGGACTGCCTTTATATCTTTTCCCATTCTTTTGAACCATTTATTTAAAAGAGTGATATCTCCTTGGATTTGCAAATAATTTGGTGGTATGACTATTGTACTTGAATGTTTGGATGAGACTGAAATCGCAACAGAAACAAGTCGTATGTGGAAAATGAGATTTCCCGTTCCTTTAATTTTGGGGTTCCTTCAACTCAAATTCATTCTCTCCAGTATATCCGTGTATTATTTCTACAGCTCAATGGTGACAGTCATGTTTGTAATGAGCAAAGCCCATGTTTCGTGAATATTTTGTAAAGTTGGGTTGCTGTGAATTTTCGGAAGCATTCTCTCCTGACATTTCACCCACATCTATGGCAGGCATCCTCCCAGGATGTGAAGTCTGTTGGAAACTAGGCAAGTGGGTTTTATATATCTGTGGAATAATTTCCAGGGTGCGAGGAAGAACTCTTGTCTGTTTCAGGCAAGGGTGAATGTTGCCATTGGCCACCTTGATAATAATAATAATAATAATAATAATAATAATAATAATAATAATAATAATAATTTATGTCTAATTGTAGTGTATAATCGTAATTGTTTGTACTGGCACTGAAATTTTTCCATTACTTATGTGTAAACCTCTTTGAGTCCCCCCCAGGGTGAGAAAAGCGGTATACAAATACTATAAATATTATCTATATAAATAAAAATGTAATGTTTGTTTGTGGGATTAACAGAACTCAAAAACCACTGGGAATGACACCAAATTTGGACACAAGACACCTAACAACCCAATGTATGTCCTTCACTCATAAAAACACTGAAAAACACAGCAGAAGGGACTTAAAAAGCCCCAAAAAGCTAAATGACGAAAAGCTAAATGACAATACAGAAAAAAGGGAAGAAAGAGGGAGGGGAGAAAGAAAGAAAGAAAGAAAGAAAGAAAGAAAGAAAGAAAGAAAGAAAGAAAGAAAAGAAAGAAGGAAAGGGAGAAGGAAGCATGGAAAGAGGGAGAAAAGGAAGAAAGGAGAGAAAGAGGGAGGGAAATAAAAAGGGGGAAGGAAGTAAAGTTAGAGATGGAAGGAAGGAGAGAAGGAAAGAAAAACACAGCAGAAGGGACTTAAAAAGCCCCCAAAAGCTAAATGATGACAAGCTAAATGACAATACAGAAAAAAAGGGGAAGAAAGAGGGAGGGAAGGGGAGAAAATAAAGAAAGAAAAGAAAGGAAGGAAGGAAGGAAGGAAGGAAGAGGGGGAAAGAAAGAAAGAAAGAAAGAAGGAAAGGGAGAAGGAAGCATGGAAGCAAAGAGAGAAGGAAGGAAAGAGGTAGAGAAGGAAGGAGAGAAAGAGGGAGGGAAATAAAAAGGGGGAAGGAAGGAAGTTGGAGAAGGAAGGAAGGAGAGAAGGAAAGAAAAAAGGGAAAGAAGGAAGGAAAGAGGGAGCGAAGGAAAAGGGGGAAGATGTAGAGAAAGAGGGAGGGAAGGAAAGAAGGAAAGAGAGAAGGAAGAAAAGAGAGACAGCAGAAGAGAAAAAGGGGGAAGGAAGGAAAGAGATAGAGAAGGAAGGAAGAAGAGAAGGAAAGAGAGAAGGAAGAAAAGAGAGACAGCAGAAGAGAAAAAGGGTGAAGGAAGGAACGAGATAGAGAAGGAAAAAGAGAAGGAAAGATGGGAAGAAAGGAAGGAAAGGGGGAGTGAAGGAAGGAGGGAAAGAAGGGGAGAAAGAGGGAAGGTTGGCCACAGCAACGCGTGTCAGGTACAGCTAGTAAATAATAAAAATGCCTGACATAGATGTGGGGGAAATGTCAGGAGAGAATGCTTCCGGAACATGGCCAGACAGCCTGGAAAACTCACAGCAACCCATTGATTCCAGCCATGAAAGCTTTCAACAACACTTTTTTAAAAGTTGCATGTCGTTTCCATTCTCTGCTTCACCCCTGCTGAATTTTCCTCTTGATCCACTTCCTGTCAGGTCATCTACCTCTACGAAAATGACCTGGATGAATTCCCCATCAACTTGCCCCGTTCCTTGAGGGAGCTTCATCTCCAGGACAACAATGTCCGCACCATCGCCCGGGACTCCTTGGCGCGCATCCCGCTGCTGGAGAAGCTGCACCTGGACGACAACTCCGTCTCCACCGTCAGCATCGAAGATGACGCCTTTGCGGACAGCACGCGCCTCAAGCTGCTTTTCCTGTCCCGCAACCACCTCAGCAGCATCCCTTCCGGCTTGCCTCGTACCTTGGAGGAGCTCCGGCTGGACGACAACCGCATCTCGACCATCCCTCTCCATGCCTTCAAGGGGCTCAACAGCCTGCGGCGCCTTGTGCTCGACGGCAACCTTTTGGCCAACCAGCGCATCGCGGACGACACCTTCAGCCGGCTGCAGAACCTCAGCGAGCTCTCGTTGGTGCGGAACTCTTTGGCCGCCCCTCCTCTCAATCTCCCCAGCGCCCACCTGCAGAGGCTTTACCTCCAAGACAACGCCATCAGCCACATCCCCTACAACACCCTTTCGAAGATGCGGGAGTTGGAGAAGCTCGACCTGTCCAACAACAACCTGACCACCCTGCCGAAAGGTCTCTTTGACGACCTGGACGGGCTCTCGCAGCTCCTGCTGAGGAACAACCCCTGGTACTGCGGGTGCAATCTCATGTGGTTGAGGGACTGGGTCAAGGCCCGAGCTGCGGTGGTGAACGTGCGGGGGTTGATGTGCCAAGGGCCCGATAAGGTCCGAGGCATGGCCATTAAGGACATCACCAACGAGATGGACGAGTGCTTTGAGGCAGGCCCGCAGAGCAATCCAGGGGTGGTTGTGGCAGCCAAGACAACGGCGAGCAATGCGGCCGTCACAACCCCACAGGGATCCCTCTTCACCCTCAAGTCCAAGAGGCCTGGCATCCAACTGCCCGATTCAAACATTGACTATCCAATGGCCACCGGAGCTGGAGCCAAAGCGTTGGTCCTCAACGTCAAACCGTTGACGGCCGACAGCATCCGTATCAGCTGGAAAGCCATGCTGCCGGCGTCCTCATTCCGCCTCAGTTGGTTGCGCTTGGGCCACAGCCCGGCTGTGGGTTCCATCACGGAGACGCTAGTGCAAGGAGATAAGACGGAGTATCTACTGACGGCCTTGGAACCCAAGTCAACCTACATCATCTGCATGGTCACGATGGAAACGGGTAGTACATACGGGCCCGACGAAACCCCCGTCTGTGCCAAAGCCGAGACAGCGGACATGTACAGCCCCACGACCACCCTCAACCACGAACAAAACATGGATCCGTTGGCTGGGCTGCCATTAGCAGGGATCATTGGTGGGGCAGTTGCCTTGGTCTTCCTCTTCCTAGTCTTGGCTGCCATTTGCTGGTACGTCCACCGGACAGGAGACCTGCTGACCCGCGAACGAGGCAGTCGGAAGAAAGACGACTACGTGGAATCGGGCACCAAGAAGGATAATTCCATCCTGGAGATACGAGGGCCCGGTTTGCAGATGCTGCCGATCAATCCGCACCGGGCAAAGGAAGAGTACGTCATCCATACCATATTCCCTTCCAATGGAACCAGTCTTTACAAAAGCACCCACACCATCGGCTACGGCACAACGCGTGGGTACAGAGACGGGGGAATTCCAGACATAGACTATTCATATTCATGATGCAAAATCCCCCTTTCCTCCCACATATAACGGCCAACCGCCACCCTTTCCCTGTTTTTACCCCCTCCCTGTCACACACCCCGGGATTTTTTTGCCGAGATGGAAAAAACAAAAAACGCAGAACGAAAAAACTTATTTTCCGAGCAGAACCAGGTGGAACAAATGGGAAGGGAGGGGAAGGGAAGGGATTTTACAAAAAAAAAAAAACTTATTTTGTAGGAAAACCTCAAAAAAACAGTTTTCAAAAAAGTAGACACGGAGGAAAAATACATAATTTATATTTAATATCCAGATTGAAGCAAAACTCAGCTCAGACCTTGGGTTACGAGTGTTTCCCTGCCCCTAAGGGGTGTGGGGTGGTGGCGATAAAGGGGGAAGACCTGGAAAAAGGGTTTAGAAAGGAAATGAAAAACAAAAAAAATGCTACCTGTTTATCTCTCTTCCTGTATAAATCTTCTATTTTGTTCAGGAGTTAGATTATATAAAAAAAATCTTTTTAAAAATATATATCAACACTGTCGTTCCTGGAGGTTAAACTTGCCGGTCGCAATGGGGAAAAAGACATTAATGCAGGGGTCCTCAAAGTTCGTAAACAGAAGGTCAGGTCACAATCCCTCAAAGTGTTGGAGGGCCAGATTATAATTTGAAAAAATCTCCTTCCTCCTTCCTTTCATCCTTCTCTTCCTCCCTTCCTTTCTTCTCTCTTTCTTCCCTCCCTTCCTCCTCCTTCCTTCCTTTCACAAATTCCCCTTTGACTATTGCTTCATCTCTTCCCTCCTATCCTCACTACCCTACTTTTACTCCTCCCCATCCATTACTTTCAAATCAATTAAAATCCTTCATCATTAATTCAATATATTCAATATCATCTTACTCTCTCTTTCTACACCCCCCCCATTCATTAACTTCCTATACTTACCTTCTATACTTAAATTACTCCCCTAGTAAATATATCATTTATTCACTCATTAATCCTTCCCCCCCTATATTTTTATAATTATTCATCCCCCTTCCACTTTGACTACTTAGATACTACTCTTACCGCTAACCTCTACTCACATAATGATATTTTTCATAATACAGTATAAATATATTTATAAAATTATTTAGAAATTAAAACATCCCCAAAATTAGTTCTGTGCGGAGATTACTGCTATTATTATTATTATTGCTATTTATAATATAAATATAGGTATAAATGTAATTACAAAAATAATTGTAAGTATAAATATAATTATAAAAATATTTAAAAATAAAATAATATAAATATAAGAGTATAAATAACATGAGAATAAAATTATTACAAAAATAATTATATAATATAAATAAGTATAAATATGATTATAAAAATAATTATAAGTATAAATACAATAATAAAAATATTTAAAAATAAAATAATGTAAATATGAGTATAAATAATATGAGAATAAAATATATTCACAAAAATAATTATATAATATAAATAAGTATAAATATGATTATAAAAATAATTACATTAGAAGTATAAATATAATTATAAAATATTAAAAAATAAAATAATATAAATATAAGTATAACTAATATTTAAAACTCCATAATTAATTAAATTACCTTAACAATATTTACATGTAATTACATAAATTTTAAACTATATATAGCAAAATATCTATTTTCTAATTAATTAATTAATTCAGTGAATTCTAAATCATAATTATACATAACTTAATATTCACAATACTCTATTTATCATTCATTACATTCAAAACTAGAGATAGTGCATTATAGATTAAATAACCTAATAAAATCAAAGAATATTAATAAATCAAATATTAATTACTTTATTACACCTACACAATATATTCATAATTAATTAAAAATTTTAAACTCTCTGTCTCCCTATCTATATATATAATTAACTTGAAGTACCTTACTGTTCAATAGTTGCGATAGAAGTAATCGAATGTAAGTAAAGTAAATATGACTACATTACCTCTGTAATTAATCGAAGGAAGAGAAAGAAACGTTATGAAAACACAAAAAGGAACTATGGCCTCAGTAAGATCCAGGTATAGGGGACGCATTAGGATGAATCGTAAATGGTGCGCCAGGTAATGCTTAGAGAGTACCTCACTCAATCACTCCAGTCCAATATACCTGGAAATAAATGATACTCACTCCCATTTCTCTACCTGTAATTATTTCATGTCACGCACTAGTAACGTCATCTAATTTAGCACTGATCATGCAGTAAGATTTTAAGTACTGCAATTAATTAATATGAATATCCCTACCTCACACTCACGAAATTCCCTACATATCAACCTTTATCCCATCCATGCTTAACTAAATTATCCATCATTTCCTACCATCATAATTAATATACGTTTCTCCTTCCTGCCCTTATTAGCTCTTTACCTCCTTTCCTCTCCGTGTCTCCCCTCCTTCTGACAGTCCATTACTCCCATCCTTAACTATTAAGATTCTTTGAAACTTCTCTTCCTTCTTTCTTCTTTCCTCCCTACATCCATACTAGTGTTTCGAATTAAGTAACTTTGTGTCTTTCATTCATATCTAGCCTGATTTTACTAACGCCATGCGAAATTAAATTAAATCCACGTCGCAGGTGGAAATAATTATCTGGAATAACTGACCTCGCTACTCTTTAACTACTATCATTAATACATGAAAACCATCTCTATTTCTCCTTAAACTTACTTCATTACCTCTTTGTCATCATCTCATCTTTCATTCCCTTCTTTTCCTTCCTTCCTCCCTCCCTTCCTTTCTCTCTCTCTCTCCCTTCCTTCCTTCCTTCTTTTGTCCTTCCTTCCCTCTTTCCTCCCTCCTTCCCTCTCTTTTTCTCCTTTCTCCCTTTTGTCTTTCCTTCCTTCTCTCTTTCCTCCCTCCCTTTCTCCCTTCCTTCTTCCTTCCATCTTCTCTTCCTCCCTTTTTCCTTCTTTCCTCAATTTTTCCTTCCTTTTCTTCTTCTCTTCTCTTTCTTTCTCCTTTCTTTCTATCAATGTAATCCGCCTCCTCTCTACTTCCTCTTCCCCCTCTCTCATTCTCTCCTTCCCTTCCTCCCCTCCTTCTCTCCTTTCTCCTTCCTCCCCTTCCCCCTTTTGTCTTTTCTTCCTTCTCTCTTCTCTCCCTCCCTTCTCCATTCCCTTCCTTCCATCCTTCTCTTCCTTGCGTTCTTCCTTCCTCCTCTCTTTCCTCCCTCCTTCCCCCTCTCTTTCTCCTTCTTTCCTTCCTTTTTGTCTTTCCTCCCTCCCTCCATTCCCTTCCTTACATCCTTCTCTTCTTCTCTTTCCTCCTTCCTTCCTTCCTTCCTTCCTTCCTTCCTTCCTTCTTTTTCTCCTTCCTTCCATCCTTCCCTTCCTCCCTTTTGTCTTTCCTTCCTTCTTCCTTGCTCCTTCCCTCCTTCTCCTTCCATCCTTCCTTCCTTCCCTCTTTCCTCCCTCTATCCCTTTTCTCCTTCCTTCCTTCCCTTTTGTCTTCCTTCTTCCTTTCCTTTATCCTTCCCTTCCTTCATCATTCCCTTCCTTCCATCCCTTTTGTCTTTCCTTCATTCTCTCTTCTCTCTCCCTTCTCCATTCCCTTCCTCCCTCAGTTCCATCCTTCTCTTCCTCCCTCCCTCCCTTCTCTCTTTCCTCCCTTCCTCCTTCCCCCTCTCTCTCCTTCCTTCCCTTTTGTCTTTCCTTCCTTCTCTCTTCCTCCCTTCCTGACCTCCCTCTTTCTCCCTTTCACCCTTCCTTCCCTATTTCTTCCTTCCCCCTCTATCTTTCTCCTTCTTTCCTTCCCTTTTGTCTTTCCTTCCTTCTCTCTTCTCTACCTCCCTTCTCTACAGTCCTTCAAACTGTTGGAGGGCCAGATTATAATTTGGGGGAAAAAAACATGAATGAATTCCTACACATACTGCACATCTCTTATTTGTAGTGCAAAGAAACACTTAAAAACAATACAATTATTAAAATGAAGAACAATTTTAACAAATATAAACTTATTAGTATTTCAGTGGGAAGTGTGGGCATGCTTTTGGCTGATGAGATAGGATTGTTGTTGTTGTTGTTGTTGTTGTGTGCTTTCATGTTTCAGACTTAGGTTGACCCTGAGCGAGGGCCGGGTAAACGACCTTGGAGGGCTGTATCCAGCCCGCGGGCTGTAGTTTGAGGACCCCTGCCTTAATGTGAATTGCTTTCCAAGTTTTCCTTTTGCATCCCGTAACTCTGTTTTCTTTTCAGGATCCAAACTCCTCATGCAAAGTTGAACAACAACAACCACTCGAGCAGTTTTAAGCTCTTGAGAAATGAATTCTGAAACCAACCCTAAGCGCCTGACTCAGTTTCCACCTCTTTTGCCATGTTTTCTCCCTCTGTAATATCAACGTTGTCCTTGTGATCGACGCGGACAGATCCTAAGAATCTCCGTTCGGTTACCTCTTCAGTTACACATCTTTTGGGACAACCATTCAACGTTATTCTCATTGTAGTAATAACGCCACAAGGTAGTTCTTGTCTTTTTGACAAAAAAAAAAAAATCCCAGGAACCATCTAACATGGAGACGGGATGGGTCAGCGTCTTCCAACCAGCACGATATTCCTTCCAAGATGGGGTTCTGAAATCCTAAGCAAATCTCAGGTTCACGTGGTTTTTGAGAGTTTGGGGAAGGAGAGAAAGAAAAACAGGATTGTGACCGGCTACCACAAATGAGATGGGTTTCGTCGGGTTTTGCTTCTGAATGCCCTCTCTCTGCCTTTTCTCCCATGGAATATATTTGATATCCCAACTATACTGTGGGTATTTGCAGGAATGTGGGCATACCAATTTGCTTCAAGTCTGGTCTCCACAACCATGGTTTTGAAAACTCAAAAAAGCAACTCTGTCCCGCATACCGTGGTTTCCACGTGTCTGATAATCACCCTGCATTTGTATTCCCAGATTAGGAGCAAAATAGGATTGTTTCTTGTACCTCTATTGGGCTTTGCACATGATTTGCACAAGGGCAAATCCAAGGGACTCTGTAAAGGAAAATTAAGATTCTCCCACTTGCTTAGAAGCCTTCAAGGCAAACTGCGTATGACCATACGTCCATATCAGGTATGGGCAAATCCAGGCCCAGGGGTCGGATGCGGCCTCTTGGATTCTTTTCTCAGGCCCTCCCTCTCTCACACCATTCTATCCTTCCTTCTTTCTCTCCTCCCTTCCTCACCTCCCTCTTTTGTCCTTCCTTCCCTATTTCCTCCCTCCTTCCTTTCCTCCTCCCACCCTCTCATTTTTTCCTTCCTTCCTTCCCTTTTATCTTTCCTTCCTTCTCTCTTTTCTCCCTTCCTTCCTCGCCTCCCTCTTTCTCTCTCTCTCCCTCCTTCTCTCCCTTCTACCCTTTCATCCTTCCCTATTCCCTCCCTTCTTCCCTCTCTCTTTCTCCTTCCTTCCTTCCCCTTTGTCTTTCCTTCCTTCTCTCTTTTCTCCCTCCCTTATCCATTCCCTTCCTCCCTTCCTTCCTTTCATCCCTTCCTTCCTCTTTTC